TACTATACCAGATATGAATAATCTTCTACTGAGAGCAATGTTTATCCATAACGGAGTACTGAATGGATAAGCTTATTATACCCGGTATGAATAATCTTCTACTTAGGGTAATGTTTATCCATAACCGGATACCAAAGTGATAAGCTTCTTCAGGAAGCTTATTTCCAATAGAGTACTAAATAGATAAACATATTTACGGTGGAGTCCCATATGGATAAACTTCTTCAAAAAGATTATTTACAATGGAGTACTAAATGAACATCCATAATATAATATATTTATAACAATTTCCATTTTCTCATTCGCCAAAGACTAATAAAGACTGAATCCATGGACTGCATGCACGAATCTTAGGTTTGGTCCAGAATCATACTTAGTATCTCAGACTTTTCGTTATTGGGCTTTGGTCCGTGCCAAGTATGGGTGAAACAGCACGGGCTAGTCAGTTTTCGGAATAATAATTAAAAAATAGCTAGCGTTTGTAAAATCATTGTATTTTGCTGTAATACAGAAAGTTTCAGCATAATATACTGAAGATTAGTGCACCTGTGTGTATGATCCAACATATTATGCTGGAACTCCAGCACACGGAAAATTCCTAATATATCGGAGATTGGAGCACCTGTGTATGAACTTTCAGCATATTATGCTGGAACTCCAGTGTATTACGCTAGAAGTTTACATGTAAAAAATTCGAACTCCAGTATATTATGCTGGAATATTTTTAGGATTTTGAACAGTGTTTTCGTTCAGATTTATCATAAATAAAAAGTGGCTAAATTTCGATTACTTTTGAAACTGTGACTATTTTTAAATTACCATTTGTAAATTTGACTAGTTTTGAATTTCACACAAGCATAGACTATCAACATCTAGTCTTACTATTGGGCCTAATTGAACACCACTCAATTATAAAAGAAGAACTAACTCATATAGCCGCCCACTTCACCGTTTAAACTAAAAATAACCGATTATAATATATTATATGTATAAATTTTGTATTGTATATGTAAAATTGTGTATAATCAATGTATATGTTAAGTATAAGTATCGAATATAACAGGCTATTTGTGTCCTACTTGTGGAAATAAGTTGTTATTTGCGTAAAGATCCCACTATGAAACCCTAATGGAAGTTAACGCGGTAGAAGCAAGAGAGATCACGGACCTCCAAGCTACGGCAATATGTGAAGGCTGCACGTGATTTCTGGCAACTTTTGCGGTTCAATAAATGACTTCCGCATTTCTTTCCTATTTATTTGACCCTCTTGTAAGCTACTTGGATCAGCGCTTGCTAAAGGAAATTCCTTTTAGCAACTCAATATTAGGCTTTGGAGTTTTTTTTTAGCCAGAGTTGTTTTCCCTCTTCTCAACACTGTCTCTCTCAGGCGATACGGTGTTAGATCTGCAGAATTTTATTTGTCTATTTATGCCTTTTTCACTTTTGTTGAGTAAAAGTTATTTTTTCGGGATCTGTTAAGATATTTTCCTTATTCCGTTTTGGATCATCTAATATAGGTTTATTCCTACGGCTATTTATGAAATTGAATTAGTGTTTTTGTTATCTCTAGGTCTTTCTCCAATTTCTCGTCTCCTCAATTTTTTTTGGAGTTTCAATTTTTCTTGTTTCGGTTTAGGCTACTTGAGCTTGCTAACTGTATTCTTCAATTTTTTGTCTGTGAGCGCTTACTGGTCAGGATGATGAAGAAAACTATAAACAACCAAGCCATGGAACTGAGCTACCTGCTTGAAAAAATTGATACAGTAAGTGCTATTCTACATCTCAGATCTAATTCTTATTAACATATCGATCATGCTGCCGCGCTATGAAGTTACTGGTCAGCCATACCACTATTAGTAAAAGAAGACTTGTAGAATAAACATTTACAGAGAACATAACTGATACAAGGCATCACTGTTCTGTTTTAACATTTGGACCTTGCAATGGTTAAGAAGACCGGGGGTTTTAGAACTTGTTCGTTAGGAATTAGAGAACAATTAGCATAGTAATTGTTGTTGCCTCCTTTCCCTTTCTGTGATAATATACTGCTTTGCATTCTGAATTATCCCCAACCATATAGTGAAGGGAAGCCCAGAGTGGCTAAGATGATCCTAAGAACCAAAAGTCATGCAATTGACTTGAAATAAAATTTTCTATTAATTTTGTTTTACAAGAGGATGCAACATATAGATTCAAACAAACTTGGGATATATTTCATTGGATATTTATGAATGGGCATGGCTAAAGAGTAAGGTTCTGAAGTACCAAACGTGACATTCTCTTACAAGTATATTTATAACCTCTTGCACTTAGACATCTAAATTAATAAAACATTCTTTAGCATCCTTAAACCTACTAGCTGACATGTACATAAGATGAAGGATGGTATTATGTTTATTTGTGGACCGCTGTAAAAGAAGAAACATACAAACTCTTTAAAGATGTACCCAGTTTTGAAATGTACCAGCAGTGCGATCTACTTGATGAACCCTGATTCATCAAGTATTTCCCTTTTGGTAAGGAATTGTTATAAACCATCACGATTTAGGTCAGTATTTTTCAATGTATTTTGGTTTATACCTTTGATAAATAGGTCTTTGACTGGACCACATTAGTTGCAGCCTCAGGGGTAAGCCTTGCTTTAAGTCTCTTGTACTCTTCTTCATCTAACATAATAACCTATATATAAAAATTGCAATGAATGAGTAAAAGGGAAACCAAGGTGATGGAGGAGATTAATAGTAAGAGATACCTGAATTCCTCTTTGGCACAATACAAGGCCGATGGAGCAAGAAACTTTGGACAAACGCCCTCTAAGGACCACTTGGGAAGTTCCTTTAGGAATGGACTTTAGGACCACAACAACAACTAGACTACTTCCATCAACCACCTTCACTTTCAACTGCGGATGCCTCGTTATGTAAAGTTCACCGTTATTATTCAGCTCCTCCTCCTGTTAGAATGTTACATTTGTGTAAAATTGTAAGTATCAACTGGAACCGTCTTTCGTCCAGCCAACAAACATTGGATATAGTGTATTGGGAGACTTTTCTTTAAATTCATTTTCTCCCTAATAGTGAATATCTGCCATAGCTAACAGAATGTTTTTCTCAGTAAATTGCATTTTAGGTAGAGATCATGCATTTTTTCTTATATATAAAGTAAGGATGAGAATTATTCGATTTTCTATAGTTTTTACTTACCTGATTTAGGAGTCCAAGGCTCAAAACTTTTATGCCTTTCTGATCAGCTTCCATGATGGCCTCCTCAATCAAATTGTTAATAGTATCTCTTTGCCATTGCATAAAGTACTGAACAAAGTAAGAAATTAGGCCAACTAGTCGCTTTTAACAACGTATCCAGAACATACAACTAGTCATGATTAGCAAAAGTTCTTACTTGTTTCCTGTATTTTGGGACAGCCCAAGTTTGTAACTTAAGATTCTTGAATAAATTTCTCTCAACAACAAACGTTTGACCATAAATCCAAGTAATAAAAAACAACCATAGGGTAACGGGAAATACCACTTGGAAGCGTGAGGCGTCGAGGCCAAGGATGCAAGCCCTAGTCGGAGATCGTAGATTGATTCTGGGGTTCTTAGATGTGTTAGGTGCACAATGTCAGGCAAGTCAGCTTTCCTCTCAAGTGACTTTTCATATAATGTATCTCAGGACTTGTCCACTGTACCATACAGATAGTCATACATTGGCATGAAAAGTGAATAATTTGTTCTAAATTGAGTGTGATGTAGCGAGTGGTACCTGTGCCATCAAAGAATTGACATTAGTGGTAAAAAATAAAACAAATTCATCAGGGATTACTAGTCTGCCTAGTCAGTAGGAAAAAAATACATTTGAAAGAAGACTTATATTTCCATTTTTCCTTTTATTTCCTGGTGAGCTAAAGTTAGAAGCAGATACAAAATTTCTGTTCACTGAGGTCTCTAACTTTGTTTGTACAGAAGTACCAAAATTGCATCTCTTTTGTCTTCTAGTTAAACTGCTCTGCTACCTTCGAGATATGCATACGATTAAATACATCTTGGGGTCGCCTGAATGTGAAGAAACATTAATGTTCTGGAAGTAAAAAATGAAAAAGTTATTTGTGCATTTGAGCCTTTTCCTTCGATTGAGTGTTCCCTGATCAGTCTCCTCCAAGCCAAACCTCCAAAACTACTTCTCTCTCTTCCTTTCTGTTTTTTTTTTCCTCCATGGGTATAATAATATTTTGTGGCCAGTGAACTTTATCCACTGTAACATTAAAGTCACCTTATTGGGCAGGTTTTGTCATTTATGGATAAAGTTTAATGACTTACTATTATAGTAAGTACATTTCATCTACTTTAATGTGACAATAAAGTTACGTGACTTTACTGTTATAGTCGGTAAAGTTTATTTACTTTACTGTTATACCGGGTAAAGTTCGGTTACTTTAGTGCGACAAAATAATTTCTAACTTTACCATTATAATGGATACAGTATGTGAAATTTAACCCTTAAAAGTTTATAGTAAATTCCTTTTACTTGCAACTGTTTCGAATTATATTTGTTCACTCAAAATACATAATTTCAAACTATGTGTTTTTATAACTTTGTAGATGTCTTGACTATTTATTTCAATTGTATAAATGTTTATTTTCAGGTCAAATTCAAAAAAAGATTAACTAAAACTTTATTATTTTTAGCCAAATAAAAAAATTTAGCATAAATAATGTAGTTCTATCTAAATTTTATTATAAATTGTATTCGGAAAAAATTATCTAAAAAAGTAACATACTTAGAAAGGTAAAAATATATTTTATTTTTCAAAAAAAGCCACATATGCAAAATAATTCACGTGGCAAGCGAGTGCACCCACACTCTTTGCTACATCAGCGTCCAGGGAGGTAATGACTCTCAAAAGGCCAAGTTGAGAGGTAATTAAGACCACGAATAGTTTAAGGCTGTAACTAATAATCCATGTCAAGTTTAGCGGGGTGGTAAGGTATTTTGCCTATTTCAAATCCCTGTTAAAGATAGCTGTTGCAAATGAAAGTTGAACATGAAAAGACACAGCAGGATGAAAAAACACATGGTAAGTGAGGTCTTGTCAAGGCAAACCAAACAAACGTCTTAAGCATAGTTGATGCTATAACTATAAAAATTGAAATATAGGGAAAACAGACTCACGAGGGCGTATATATCAAGTACTTGAGAGGGGGAAACATAGAGAACATCCACTTAGGAATAAGCTCAAAGTTGCAATGCCCCATGTTGTTCATGAAATCAACGTAAGTGATGTACACACCAAATGCAGCTATAGAAGCAGTTCCAGTGAAAAAAGTTGTGACCCCCGGTATAACAAAGAGCGTGTAATATGCTACGATCTCAGCAAACGGATGAATAACAGCTGCAACAATAAAGAACTTTGCTTTGTAAGTATTTGCAGATAGGTCATTGATTGTCTTTGAAATTAAACTGAAACCAAGTGACCTACAAGCCAGTAGGCAGGTCTTTAATATGCAGAAAGCCAATCTACAAAGTACTTATATTCTCATCCATCCCATTTGAATCATATAAGTGACAGCCATTCTGCAAGATCTTTTTAACATTATCTACTGGTTACTGTCGATATTATTTTCTAGGTTACTATGTCAGGCTTAATATAAGCTCCTTGTAATATCTGATGTATTTTCTCCAAGACTGATTGTTCTGCCTCTAGAAAACTACATCAAATTAAACATATGATACAAAACGTTTACGAGGACCACTTACAAGTGATGGGCTCAGTAACCATGGAGGAGTGATGATGGGAATGATAACGAGGCTCAGTAACCATGGAGGAGTGATGATGGGAATGATAACGAGAGTAGAGAAAATGGTGGTGCAGAGCTCTGTGAAGCCAATAATAGAGAAACTCCACCGGACCGAGATGCATCAAGGCAGTTATTATGATCCCATCAGTCCTCCACAAAGGCAAGTGATGAGTCTGTTGGAACTTCAGGTATGCAATGTAGAATAACATTCCATGAAATATGATTTGATCATCCCTACAAAAATACTTCAACCTTAGATCAATTTTGTCATGTACAGTTTGTTTTGCACGTTCTTTTTTGCTTTGTTGGATTCTTTTTAGACACTGTCGGAACCTAATTAGTACTGTCAAAGCATGGTTTAGTGTTTAGACATGTGCGACCTAGTCCAAGATTCTGACTCCTAGCAGGCGTATAGCTTTTCTTCTGGCTGAAACTTTCCAATAACATCTTCAGCTGGAGGACACTTGATTTGCATCATAACTTTTAGTGCACAAAAGGGTCTTAGTTGTAGCAATTCAGCCCACAAATTTATTTATTTATTTATTTTTTGTGTGGTAATGTAACCGTTCAGCCTACTACTGCTCTCTCAGCTTTGGGCTAGGCCCACAAGGTCTTAAAATGTGTCACTAGGATCTAAGGTTTGTTTTCTTATATACCCAACCTCTCTTTATGTTTTGCTGTATATGAGATTTGCCTAGGGTGTTACACCACCTCTCTTAAAGATTCAACATTGTCGTAAGATGTGGGATTCACCTGAACTCATTTGAGATTTTTCCCTACCGTCTCTCCTAATGATGTGAGATTTGCTTAAAACTCAGCTTTCAGTTGAGAATTGCCCAACCATCACTTAAGCTTGTATGAGTGGTTCTGATATCATATGTAGCTTCCATCCTACAAGGCATCATCTTTGTCGTATTTTTTCCAAGTGAAATTTACATAGAGGTTACATTAATGACCACCAGGGGTTCAATTATTCGTTATAAAATCAAATCTTCCTTGCTAAGAAATTGGAGGCGAGTTTGAATATTACCACTTAACTAGTGTGGAGTGGGTGAGGTTGGAATGTACATACCAGTTTCGTTCTCTGTCAACTTGATCAAATTCAATGCTCTTGTCAAGAATCCGATTATCACCCTTGGCTGTCCTGTAACGGGATAGGGATATCCACATCTGGTTGTGAACTATTCTCCATAGTAGATATGGGAGTATAACTATGTATGTAATGTCCTTCTGACTTTCATCTTTGCCCATGAAGAATGAGTATATGCTATGACCCACAAATGGTGCCAAAAGCAAGTACTTAATGGCAACAAATTATTTCACAGAAAAAAGAGTAGAGAGTTCAGCAAGTCTAGCTATAGCTTCCTGATTCAGCACAGAATCGTTTAGAAGGAAGAAAAGAACACAAAGGTTTAAGCATTAAAGTGTAAACTTAATTGTCAGTGCCAATACTACGTAACACAAATTCTGATGAAAACATTATAGTGTTACATGGAGCTAATTAGTTACTTACCTTTTACTTTTAAAAGGAAGATGACCGAAAAATGTAAACTGAGTTAGGGTACCATGAGCATTTTAACAAAAGAGACAGTAGACCTTTTGAAAGCAGTACATATTCAAATGAGAGAATATTGTTGTCAGATTTAATTATTACTACAGCTATATTAGAAAGCACTAAAGGAAGTGCCTTTTATCCCTCTCTATTCTGGACAACCGTACAATCTAAGGAATATGTATTCCAACAACAGAAAGAAAGAAAGAAAGAAGAGATGTACGTAACTTCTTAAGATTATATCATTTTAAGTCTACATGCTTTCCAATATACTGTAAAAATAACTTGTTCTGACTGCAAAGAAAGAGGAAACAATAGTTGAGAATTCAAGAAAGTGTACCTTGAAGTTCCCAAGGCGTGCCCATGGCCACTCTGTGAGAATGCCAGGTTTTGTAGCCATTCTTTTGTTACTTCACCACAAAGCTTGAGAAAACTAAGTATTTGTAGCTTTGCTCAACTTGTTCTTTCCCTGTGTTCTCTTAAAAGCCTCTGCTTCCACTGCCTTATATATATACACTATTGAATCTTGTTATACAAGAATGCATGTACAATATTCTGCCAATGAATAATGCCCGTATAAACTGCCCTCAAAGTCAATCCTAATCATCTGGTAGTAATTTAGCATGCAGGAACAAACTATACTGTATAACTACAACTACAAGTTGTATTTCATATTTAAATGTGACAATCTTTTCTTTTGTTGGACAGTATGACCTAGGGCTAAGCAAATATGAGTTCACCTAGCAATAGATTATGCTACATTAATTGTGTGTTTGCGTAGAAAGTTGGAAATGCGCAATAAAAGTAGGAACAATGCTTTATCCGTTTCATTTTATATGACGATGCATGACGAGACATGAAATGTAAGAAAGAAAAACCTCTTGCACATATCAAACGTACCATTAAACTTGTAGTATGAAACATGATCGGATGTTTCTATAATATAAGAGTGTCATTAGGGACAAAATGAGATACTTAAAAGAGTTTTTAGAGTTCAATTTTTTGGAAAATAATGTGAGAAAAGAAATTAATATATTTGGTGGATCAAGAGAAATGACATGTTATAACTCACGTATAATCAGAAATATATAGATACTGTAGAATGGAAAATATTGAGTAATTATAATATACATTTGAGCTTTTTAAAAGAAGGTGAATGAAAAGAATTGAAGAAAAAAGATAAGAGACGTGACATCACATTTTTACGAGGCATGCATATTCAATATTTTTCCACAACTACAAGTTCGGAAAAGTCAAAAAATTGTAACCCTTGTTCATAATTAATTTTGGACGTAACGTTTTGCTTTTTTCCAAACAGTGTGACGGGTGACCAAGGGATAAGCAACTAGTACTATATATGAGTCCACACCTAAACAATAGATTATGCTACATTAGTTGTGTTTTCGTAGCAAGTTGGAAATGTGCATTTAATAAAAGTGTAAAAATTGTATGGGTGCCCTATTTGGTTGTCCCCATTTAATCTTATACCAATTTTTTAAAAAGTTTTAATTTGTACCCACTTTTTAAACAACTTCAGCCCCTTGCTCCTTCTCCTCCTCAAAGTTTTATCTTTTCTTTTTCCAGAAGTAAGGTTCATCCTTATCTGCTTCTTCTTATTTCTCTGGCGAGTCCTATAAATTTTCAATCATTTTTTCCTTTTCGTCGACACCCTCAGCCGTAAAGGTTCTATCTTGGTTTTGCAACTTGAATCTTATGCACAATTTTGATGTGAAAATGGGACACGAGAAATTAATTATTAATTTTATATTGTTGTTTGGTGAATTGAGTCTGGTGGAAATTGGAGATTTCAGTTGTATGGATTGGTAATGTGTTGATGTTTCTTGGTTCCTATTAATGTTGCTTTAAGTTACTTCGTGTGGGTACAATATGCCCTCTAGAGCTGAAGTTCGACAGTTACAAAACAAGAACTTCATCGCCAGTTACAAAACAAAAACTTTAGCTCTAGAGCTGAAGTTTGTCAGTTACAAAAACAAAAACTTCAGCTCTAGAGCTGAAGTTCGCCAATTACAAAATAAAAACTTCAGCTCTAGAGCTGAAGTTCGCCAATTACAAAATAAAAACTTCAGCTCTAGAGCTGAAGTTCGCCAATTACAAAAATAAAAACTTCAGCAATTACAAACAAAAACTTCAGCAAATGGAGAACAAAACTTCAACTACTATGCTTAAGTTCAGCAATTACAAACAAAAACTTCAGCACACTTGCTACTTCAGTATCGTCTACTAGAATGCTGAAGTTTTGCATGATTGGCTTTGCTACTTCAGCCTCGTATGCTGAAGTTACGCGAAAAAGTGGGTACGCTTGCAATTTTTTTTTGCAAAGCGGGCACAAGTTAAAGCGTGACCCATAAAATGGGTATAAATACAAATGCCCCGATAAAAGTTTGTGAGGCCATGCCAATGCTACGATTCATGTCAAGAAATGATGTAATTGGTGATGGTAGAGTAAACCCTAACACCTATAAGGCTATAAAAAGTTACAGAAATAACACGAAAGTTGGTATATCTCAAAAGTTAGTGTTGCTCATTTGATCTATCATTTTCACGCCCAAATTAAATATTTCTTGCTAAATTCCTTATTTTATTGTGAGATTTTTATAGTTTTTTTCTATATAAGTTTAGTAGTAGTATTTAATTTAAAAATGAGACATCATTGTATCATTGAGATTTTGATCATATGTTTTATTTTTCAAATAACATATCAACTAGTAATCGGATGAACTGGTATTAGTGAGAAATTGATTCAACCGGGACGGTTTTGCAAAAGTAGGGGTGTACAAAGCAAACCGATAAATCGTGCCAACCCGATAATCCGAGTCAAACCGAGAAAAAAAATCCGACTATGGGTTGGTTTGATTTGGTTTGGTGTTGGAAAAAAAAATCCGACCATAAAATTGTTTTGGTTTGGTTTTAACTAAAGAAAGTCAAACAGAAACCAAGCCAACCCGACATTACATATATAAAAATTTTAGATATATTTTATATATAAATATACTTGTTGTGATGTAATTTATAAATATTTCTTAAAAAATTTCATAATTTTATTTTTTTGAGATATTATTTCAAGGTTGGACTTAGAACTTTTGAATGTTCCAATAAGTTTTATAATTATTAATATTAGTAAATTAAATAGTGCTAACAAAAGCCCAAACCAAAATTAAATCAATACTAATGCTAACAAAAGACATTTAATTCAATACTACGGACGGGAATGTATTGAATATCTATTTTTTGTTTTGCAATAATTTAGATAAAAATGTATTACCTATTTTATTTTTTCTTTAGCGTCTAGTCATGTATTTAATACTTCCTTATTAGTCTACTTATTTTAGTATGATTTAGTACTCTTAGATTATGTTTATTTTTATTATGGCTTTTTAATTAGCAATATTTATATTATATAATTTTATTGTCTTTATTATTGAATATTTTAGGATAATGCCATGACATATCTCATATTTTGTATTATTTTTTTGAAAAATACTTTATATATTTGTATCTTACTAGGACTAAAGAAATATTTTGAGCATAATTTATAAGTTTTTTTTACGAAGATTTTATCGGAAAAAACCCGAATAACCCGAAAATCCGAGAAAACCCGAGAGTGAAAAATCCGAGTTTTATTGGTTTGGTTTGACCTTCAGATTTAATAATCCGACACAATTAGTTTGGTTTGATAATTGTAAAATTCGAACCAACCCGACCTATGTCACCCCTATGCAAAAGTATAATTTTAATTGAACTCAATAGGTTAATTGATAATTGGGTACAGACTACAAAACAAATTTCCTCAGATAACTAATTGAAAATAATCATTTACATTCCTACTGAGGCACATAGATTAGCTTCTAACTGAGTGTCTTTTCAAGCGGATACGATATAATAGCTGTCCTTGAACACCAATTTACAAAGTTTTAATCACTACATTTATTGCTCTTAAATGTCGAAGGAAAAAAGGAATGTTATAAGGTAGGGATGTGTGTGTTCTAATTCTGGTAAAAGCTGGCAGCCAAATATAACTGACATTATATATTCTTATAGTGCTATTTATATATCATGACCCTTTACAATATTGAATTTAAGAAAAAATTCTTTTTAGATCTCTTACGTGTAAAAGACAGATCTCTTATGTGTAAAAGTAAATCTCTCATGTGTAAAAAAAGAGGTAGGGAAGGGATGTACATAGGTCGGGTTGGTTTGGATTTTTCAATTACTAAACCAATTATGTCGGATTTTTAAATCTAAAAATCAAATCAAACCAATAAAATTCGGGTTTTTTAATTTTGATTTTTCTCGGGTTTTCGGGTTATTCAGATTTTTTCGGATTTTTTCCGGTAAAATCTTCGTAGCACAAAACATATTACTTGTGCTCAAAATATTTTTTTTAATCCTAGTAAGATACAACTATATAAGGTATTTTTCAAGAAAATAATACAAAATATGAGATGTGTCATGGCATTATCCTAAAATATTCAACAATAAAGATAATAAAATTATGTAATATAAATATTGCTAATTAAAAAGTCATAATAAAAATAAACATAATCGAGAAGTATTAAGTTATGCTAAAATAAGTAGACTAATAAGGGAGTATTAATTACATGACTAAACGCTAAAGAAAAAATAAATAGGTTATGCATTTTTATCTAAATCATTGCAAAACAAAAAATAAATATTCAATGCATTATAGTTCCTAGTATTGAATTGAATGTCTTTTATTAGCGTTAGTCTTGATTTGATTTTGGTTTGGGCTTTTGTTTGCATTATTTAAGTTACTAATATTAATGTCTATAAAATTTAGTGGAACATTCAAAAGTTCTAAGTCCAACCTTGAAATAATAATACCTTAAAAGATAAAATTATGAAAAAATTAAGAAATATTTATAAATTACATTACAATAAGTATATTTATATATTAAATATATCTAAAATTTCTATATATGTAATGTCGGGTTGGTTTGGTTTCGGTTTGACTTTCTTAGTTAAAACCAAACCAAACCAATTATGATCGGTTTTTTTTTTCCAACACCAAACCAAATCAAATCAAACCATAGTCGAGTTTTTTTTTCCGGTTTGACTCGGATTATCGAGTTGGTGCGATTTGTCGGTTTCCTTTGTACACCCCTAAGTAGGGTCATAAAACTGAAAAAAAGTTTGTAAAAAGCCGAAGTAATTTGTACTTGGTATGAGCAAAGTACTTTGAAGAAAATAATTGATATTTGGTGTGTAGGTTTCAAAAATTATTTTAAAGGAAATTTCTTTATTAAAAAATAGGAAAAAACGGCTTCAATTTTCTCATTTCTGCGCAGAAATTATTTTCTTTCACAACGATCTCAAATGTTAGTTTTATATCGTTATTCCAACCAATAGAGAAAATGACAAAAATAGTTCCTTATGTTTAAATAGGTTTAACATAGTCCTTTAAATATATACTTTTGAATAATTTTTATTCTTTAAAATTACCAAAAGAGCACTTTTCGTATTTAATCTTACTTATTCCATAGCACTAAGTGTTATTTTTACAGGATCCATTAATCATTAAAAGAAGAAGTTGTTGTTGGATATTCTCTAGCTTTTTGACTGATCAAGTCTTAGCCCATGTTTGGACATATATTTGGTTGAACGTGAAAAAAAGAGTTATTGAAGTTATGTTGAAAATATTTTTTGGAAATTTAATTTGTGTTTGGAATGCATTTTATTTGAAAATACATTGAAGTTTTGTGAGTGGAAGAAAAAATTTCACCCAATAACTAGCCTAAATGAGTTTTTGAAAGCTGGTTAAATTTCATGAACAAATAATGTGTTTAATTTTTTTCCCCAGAAAAAGTAAATTTTTTTTTATGTCTAAACGGGAGCTGAAATCCGATCCTTTAGCAACTGCTTATGAGCTTGCTTTGCCTCCCAGTCTATCGAGAGTTCATCCGGTCTTTCATGTGTCTATGCTCCGGAGGTACCATGCCGACAGGTCGCATGTGTTAGATTACAGCACGGTTCAACTAGATGAGAGCTTGGGTTACGAGGAGGAGCCAATTGCTATTGTTGACAGGCAGGTTCGTCAGTTGAGGTCTGAAAAGATTTTTGCGGTAAAGGTCCAGTGGAGGGGTCAACCAGTCGAGGAGGCGACTTTGGAGACCGCAGAGGACATGCAGAGCAGATATCCTCACCTATTCAACACTCCAGGCATGATTCTAGACCCGTTCGAGGACGAACGTTTGTTTAAGAGGTGGAGAATGTATACCTGACTGGTTGTTTTGATTTTTAGATCCCCGTTCCCCTAATTAAGACTCTCCGTATGTGCCTTTACTATTTTATGACTTGCGTGGATGGTTGACTTGGGTTTGGAAGGGTTCGGGTTGAAACCAGAACACTTGGTTCCTTAATAGTAGCCTAAGATGACCAAGTTTGACTTGAGTTAATATTTTGAGTAGACGACATTGGAATCGGAATTTGACGGTTCCAATAGATTCGTATGATAATTTTGGATTTGAGCGTATGTTCGGATCGGATTTCGGATGACCTGGAAGCGTTTCAGCGCTTAAGGTTGAAAGTTGGCGCATTGAAGGTTTTCATGTTCTTTAAATTTGATTTGGAGTAGACTTTGGTGTTATCGAGGTGCGTTTGGGATTCCGAGTCTGGGAATAGTTATGGTGATTTATGACTTGTATACAAAATTTGGTGTCATTTTGAGTAGTCTAAGTATGATTCGGTGCGTTCGGAGTAAGTTGAAAAACTTGACGTTCATAATTTGATTCAATTTGATTTTGGGGTGCGATTCTTAGTTTTGATGTTGTTTTACGTGTTACGAGAGTTCGAGCATG